CGTGAGTTTGCGCTTGAGTGAAGGAGGGGCGTGTTAAAATGGTGCACCGGGGACACTTACACACCTATACAGTTTTTATGTGTGTTGAAATGCATTCGACGACGTGAGACAATTAAAAAGTTGAGGTAGACTGGTCAAAATAAGTCTGGTCAAAAATAATGAAATAAATAAGAGCAGATACAGATATCAATAGCAGGCGGCGTATGTAGTATTCAATCCGCGCACGCTTAATAGTTTAATGGCTATATCCCGCTCTTGTGGCATTTATGCTTCAAAAATATGAAGACAAAGGCTCGCAGTAGCTTGTCATTTAGAAGTATCTCGGTAAGAGTTAATTCAGGCGGGCCGCGGATGATGGGTGTAGCATTAATGCTGCTTGGGGGAGGGGGGGGGGGGGGGGGGGGGGGGGTGCAGCTGCGTCCTCAAGATTGGACCTACAGTATTGCGCCAAAATAAACCCTAAAATGGGATTGACATCCTGATTTTTTTTAAAGATTCGCCTCTGCTGCTCATGTTAAACCCCGGTTTGTGATCCCGAGAAGAGACCCCGAGATACGAATCGAGATCGCATGGACGAAGGATCTTTAGAGTTTCTTACTCAGTAGGCAGACATGGCAACAGTCAACGTGGTGCCAGTTTGTAATTTGATCTAAACACTTCAATTTTTCACGTGCAACGTTTCGAAATCCACGCTTTCACATAAAGCCTTTCGCTTTGACCTCGGTGGACAAGGCATGGATGTCTTCCGTGCGATCTCCAGTTGTGAGATTCGACTGAAGCATTAGCACCGGTTTCTTGTCTGTGTGATCACAGTAGGTATGTCGTCAGCAGCCGGACGTTGTTTGTTCCACGTCGCCCGCGCTCCATTAGTGTGGCGGCTGCGACGGCTGGCGAGACAAAGTGGCTGCGCTGGCTGCGCCGAGACCGCCGCCCGCTCCAGAATCGGTTTCCGACCGCCACGCTGCCGCTGCGCGCCGCCCGCCGTTGACGCAATACCGGCGCAGATGCTGCCGGTGACGTCACAGCTGACGTAATATGGCCGCGGCTGTGTAAGACGGTTGGATGAGTCTGCACATACGCGCCCGCCTGGTAAAGCCCTGGACCACCTTTGCTGACTACTGCCAAAACGGGGGTTTGGGTGTGCATTCTTCTGTACGATAATGCAGTGTAGAACGGGTTGACTCGTCGATGTTTCAAACCAGTGGACGCAAATTGTAGGAAAATGGGCGTAGTTTCAAAAATTGCGCTGGGAGCCGAAAAGTGAAAAGCACACAACCTACCCCCGTCCCCCTCCAACCCACTCCCCAAATATCCACCAAACGCGTTTCTCCCCCGTTTCGGCCCACTTTCTTTTCAAAGTTCGGGGTGAGGGCTAGGGCTCAAGTTGAAGGGGGGGGGAGGGGGGTCTGGAGCCTCCCAAATGAATATGAAACTGCACCCCAAATACACAAACTATGTACGAAGGCAGATCAGGATCCGTTAATGTTTTATTGAGCGTTACCCAAACTGAACCATACTGACTGCTATGCCTATCACTGGCCCATCACTGGAGAACTGAGAACCGCATTTTCCCATCCACGTACAGTTGAACCCCTTTGAGGGTCACCTTTATCAGAACGCACTCTTTTCAGAAATTCGCAAGGTGTTGTCGGTTTATGAGACGAGAGAAAAAGTAGGATATCTCTACAAATAAATGATGCAATAAAAACCATACGATGAATGAATGAACTCGGCTGACTGGATGAGGTATTCTCAAAACGATGGGCTGATTTTTGACCGCATTTGGAAGACCGCCATGGAGTCATTGGAAAAAATCACGAAATTTGTCACCGTTTTTTTTTCTCGAAACGAAGTATGGTTATGCATTACACGTTTACCCTGCTATAACACAATTTGCTCTTCTTGAAACAAATTGATGAACGCTGTATGGAAAGTATCTTGCCATGCCGGAGCGGGTCTGAATGGTTTGGACCTATAGAAAGCACGCTATTGGAACAATTTGCCTCAAAATTGCAAGAGTTGACTGATCACACATCTTCCTGAAAATTTGATATTGTCATTTAAGGTGTTGACTGGATAAAATGAGAAAAAATGGTTATCGGTCCGTAAGTTGGGAACACTTCCATTGGCCCTGTGCGAGCAAGCTCCTAATAACAGTTATGGAAGGCTGAATGCAAAATTGAGGCTTCTGTACGACGTAATTGTTCCACGTCGCACGAACACAAACCATGACAGATGTGAGCTCCTGCGCCTGACGGCCTTACGTGACAGCGTGAGTCGAAGTCATGAAGTCATGCGGTCTTTTCGTCCATATGAAATGGAGAGAGAGAGAGAGAGAGAGAGAGAGAGAGAGAGAGAGAGAGAGAGAGAGAGAGAGAGAGAGAGAGAGAGAGAGAGAGAGAGAGAGAGAGAGAGGAGAGAGAGAGAGAGAGAGAGAGAGAGAGAGAGAGATATATATATATATATATATATATATATATATATATATATATATATATATATATATATATAGGTTGCACACTTAGCAGGTTTTTTTTGAGTGGAGCACACACGTCTCGTAATCAAATTTCGCATGAATTAATATGCGTGTGAGTAAATGTGGACAGCTAAAAACCTCAAGCAGGTTCAGATATGCAACGCTATTGAGAACATGGAACCTTTTTTGTACGTCATGAAATACATTCCGCAGGCTTTCGGTGCGCCCAAATAGGGTCTTCAGTGCACCAATGTACGCAAAGCATGAGAGACATCCCCATTTTCTCTCCAATAAAAATAAAAAACGCCATGTCCTGTACGCCTCTGCATTGCGTGCACCATTGTATGATATAACGGGCTGCATAAGGGGCTGCTGTCAATGTTACCGATCCCACTGGAATGAGCCCCAGAGGATAAAATTTGGGACGACCTCTGTGGTCTGTGATAAGGTCGACTTACATCGCTGCCCGGAGGTGAAAACAGAGCTGCAGTCAGCTTTAGTGGCCATGGGCCAAAGTCGCAATCGAATTCGCCGCGAACGAATCAAGCCTCCTTCTTAGAATTGAGGCATAATAGCGCGTTAAATACCAAATGCTGTTCTTCGGGCCAAAGCAGAAAAAATCGTGTTCAGACCTCTGCGACTGTCGTCTTTTTCGGATGAAATCCAATACGCGTTTGATTTTGAACGCGTGCATTGTGCCGAGACAGCCACAGGTTTTCCTCACAGTTTAATTTGGGAGCCGACATAGGATGCAGAGACGTTGAACGGAGGCTCACGAGTGATCTAATTTGAGCCGTGTCCCTGCACTGTCTCACGCTAGCGGCAAACCAGACGCTAGCAGTCAATCTTGACTGAATTGCCAATACGGCGGACGAACAGTTTGGCGTCGCGTGGTGCAACGCCGGCAGCCCACAGGCTCGTGACGTCATAATTCTGCCCAGCAAGTACATCGACAGGCTCCGAGGCATCACTTATACAGGCCTGGATTATTGCCACATGAGCAGAAACGAGGCCATCCTGCGAACTTTGACAGTGAATCATCCGTGCTGGTTCAACACATATCGGGCAGATAGTGCGTACCAGAAGTTTCTGTTTATCGCTGCCGAGGGCGTTTGTCCGTGCGCTAACATGGTCCACCGGATAACTGGAGGCGAGTGCCACGTCCACACCACGGTACATTGGAGCCCGATCTGTCCCGTCTGTAAAATGATTTGCGACATCTCACCAAGCAGCAAGGAACACTCACAACGCACATCAGTGATAGGTTTTCGGTACATTTCTACTGTTGAAGGACTTTAGGCTTTAGCCTGTTATGCGTCTGCGAAGATGCATCCAATTGGCTCAGTATGCAACAATTTTTCAATGTCGACTTCTCCACTTTATCAACAACAACTGATGTTTGTGCCCATAACCAAAATTTGGAGTCTGAACCTGTTGAACGTTGAACCAACGCGAGATCGTCGACCTTTTCCCACAGGTTTCACATAGCCTAGCTTGGCCTAACATACGCTGACCTAACGCTTACGTGATGGCGTCGGTGCCTTTGTGGTTAGTATAAACAGCCAAGCGACTACTTTGTGCAAATAACGCCTTCTCCTCATTATCATGGGCGTTGTTTGGGGCTTTCTTTGTGCACGGGGTGAACATTTTTTGCCCAGTCGCGGCTGCTACCGGTCGCTGGACTCTGCGGTCAAATCGGCCAAAGCAGTATCTTAAGTGCAGGCGGATTCCAAAAAGTCTGCAATACTGAATGTTAATCCGAATTTGTCTTGTTCCTTAAGCAACGGCGAAAACCCTTGTGCTGCGCAATCTATTCAGCCGATGTGTTACATGGTGTTACAAACATCAATGTGTTACAACATCTGTAGTTACATCGTGTGTGAGTAAACATGGTCAAAGGGCTTTCATATGATTTACAGCAAAATACAGCATGGATAGGTCTCGGGGGAGTAAATATTGTGAGCCTTTTGACTAGCCTAACCGAAATGCAGCAAAACATTATTTCTTAATCCAGGATTAAACCTACAGATTTCAAGGGCTGAGAGTGTTTAATCCACAGGGTTGAACTAATTCCATTTTAGACTATTCCATTTTCATCTAGTTTATTCAAGTTAATCCCTTACATTCAGGTTGCCACTTCACACTTAAATGTTCAAGTAATTATCATTCAAATCCGGCGCTGAGCTTTGCTGATCGTGATTGGTATTGACCAACATTGCACCCCGCCTTCCCTTCAAAATCATCTGCCGACATCGCCGACGGGCTCAGCAATTACAACGCTCCCACTGACCTCCGACCAACTAGCTCCAGCGGCGCGCCGGCCGAGCCAGCTGCTCTGACCGCCGGCCGGGTCTCAGTCCGCCTGGTCCGGGGGCGACAGGGACGCTCCGTCGCCCTGCGTGTGGGGACCGGCGAGCCTGGCAACGGACCGGTGAAAGCGCCCGGGCCCGGCCCACACCACCGGGACAGCGTCGAGCGCGGCCGAGAAGGGCGGCGCGCTATAAAGTCGCCGGTTGGCCGCTGGACGAGCACAGTGTCTGCACAGCACTTCACCAACGCAGCTGACTGGCTTTGGCTCTCGATTCGTTGCCGCAGTAGGTGTCTCTCCGCGAATGTCTGCCCTATCGCATGCCCGGTTGACATCTGCTGCCACACTGATGTTGGCATGGATACAGATGTGTCTGTTGATGCGTCTGGGTGCATGTGTACGTGCCGTTGGTGCCTGCGTTCGGTTTAGTTGTACACACTGTTGGTGTAATTAAGCTGCCCTTCCCAACGCCCAGTCCCAGGACATCACACAGTCCAGCCAGAAACCCAGGCTGTGCCAAAGCACGAGCTGCTGTGCGAACGGGTGATGTCCAAGTTCACGATGTCCTCGGAGCTTGGCAGACCAGACTAGAGCGCCCGGATATGGCCTCTTCCGCACATCAGCTACGAGCTGCGGCTCCAGACCGCGGACTCCGGTACGAATCCGAACCCTGAGGTTTCGGATTCAGCTGTTGGCACCCGAGGTGGAGATCGCTGCAAAAAATTGCTTATTCGTGCACCAGTGACCCATGTGCCAGTCGAATGATAAATTCGGGATTTGAGAGCGATGCTCAACGTCGCGGAAGCTCAGGCCAGTTCGTCATGCTGGGCAAGCAAACCGGAAGCACCCGCGAGCCCTGAGGAGGTGCCGGTCCGGGGTGCTGGTGTTCTCACACAGCCGGAGGCGGTGGCGTGCCCTTGTCATCGGTCGGGTACACGGTCTTTTGCAGACGGTGAAACTCTCGGCCTCTGCCAGATGACCAGTGGCAGATTACTCTGCGTAACGCCCGAAATGAGTGCAGCCCCCTGCACGAATATATATTTCACAGGCATCTAGACAGAAGGTCAAGCGCCAGTGCATTGGTGTTGGTCTTTCATTACTCTGCGCTGATATGGCCGACCCCGTTTGTGGCCGATCTTTCAAGCCAGTTTCGGAGACACTAGTCAACCAAAACTATGAGCCTTTAATCCACAGTCGGCCACATGTTTGTTTTGTTTATGTTGCATGCTATGTTGTGATGTATGCTTATGTGTGTACGCACGTTGTTTTTGTTTTCCCAGCTATGAAGTACGCGTTGCTCCTAAGCGTCCTGGTTGCCTGTGCCGTGGCACAAAAAGACTACAACAGAGGCTACTTCCAGTACGCCAACGTCAAGGGTGCAAAAGAGTACGAGCACGGGTACAACAGAGGCAACCCGCAGCACTTCCGTACTCATCACCAAAGGAACAAGGACCACACCTTCCAAGCCAAGGTAACCCCCTTTCTAGGCCTCTGCGTTTCTTAGTGAGGGCTTGTTATCTGCTATATCCTCCGTCACTGTCCGGCCAGAGCGGCAGTGAGAGGCACTGAACGCCATCGTCGGTTGTATTGTATGTAGTGAGGGCTTGTTATCTGCTATATCCTCCGTCACTGTCCGGCCAGAGCGGCAGTGAGAGGCACTGAACGCCATCGTCGGTTGTATCACCGGGCTATGTTGTATTGCGCCTCAATGTCGAACACCGCGGCGTGACGTGCGTTGCTTGTCCTCTTGCTGCAGCACCTGCTGCTGCCGCTTTTGATGTCGATGTTGAGGTTCATCGCTTTATCGCCATCTGTGTACTGATTTTGTCCTCGTGTTGTGCAGCGAGATCACTGGGCAACATGTGCAGCAAGTCTTAATACCATGGCCTCTGCTCCTGCAGATGACCTGGGGCGACTACGTGGGCGGCCACGGCGAACACTACTTCGAGTACAACCACGGACCTAAGTCAGCGGCTTACGAGAAGCCGGCCCCATATGCGCCCCGACCTTACCTGCCGTACAAGCCTGCCTACAACTGAATCGTACGCGACTGTCGGAACACCACGTGTCTTTCATACCCGCCGTCCAGTCGCCTGATGGTTGTCATCTTTGAGTGACGTAGCCTGTATGGTGTAACTCCCGTGGCGAGGCCCGGGAGCTAGCCATGGACGTGGATCTGGCCGTTTGTTGCTTTATTTTGTGCGCGGTTAGGTACATGTTTGTTCTGTTGAACGTCTTAATCCGGCGTGCTCGGTGTTACACATCACATCTAGTCTTCCAGCGCATGTTTGACGTTGGTGTTTTATCGGCTGGAAGCATGTGTGCTGCTTTGTAATAAATAGTGCAGGTACCGACAGATGGTTACACTTTTGCTGATTATTGATGCAAGTAAAACATCAAAAGTGCGATAAGCGCCTGGAAAACAATCTTCACCGCACCGACTTCCGCAGTGATGAACTCAAGTGTTTTGCTCTCCATTGCTGCTATTAATAGAGTTCACAATGGCAACAAAACTGAGATGCCATATCTCTGCTCAACTAATGCATTAAGTTATATACAATGCCGTTCCAGGAGCGAAATGCAGGCTTAAACCAACTGCGCCAATGTTGCAATGTGACATCTGTTGAGAGGTCGGCCAAAACGGGTATACATAGGTGGCGCTATAAGTCAACGTTATCGGACCGGGGTTTACAAATCTCGGGGTGACTTCAAAAATGGCAACGTAGCTCAGCCCCTATGCGGAGCTCAGCCGACAAATGTTCACCTGGACTACTCACCGCTACCCATCGCTTATGTTGAAGGCTTAATACTTAATATACATAGCTTAACACACAAAGTCACCGCTAGTGCTTACTCGCACCTGCAACGCGCAGCTCCCCACCGTTTGCCTTGTGAAACGTGGAGGCACACATTTCCTAAATCTATTGAAAACCAAATGTCACTATGAACAGAAAATCCCCTCGCTATCATGATGTGGGGAGGTCCTGGACAGCTGTTACACGCGGGTGTTTGTTGGAGCATCCTCAAACATTTTCATCTCCAGCCGATTTTGACAAATTTAATTCTGACTAAGCCGTTAAGCAATCTCGCTAGGCACTGCTCGTACGCGGGCATCGACCCCCCACTCATGTAACTCGGGCCATGAAACAGGCTATCCAGTGTTGAATTTCTGATTGGCGCTCCTGGATTAGGGAATAAAGACTTCCACGGCCCGGATTGTAAATGCTAGAAATCGGAGTTTTGGGCTTTATGGAGAATTCTCAAATTTCATTTCAGACACTGCAGTTATAGACAAAGGCCATAGCTGTGATGTGCAACAACGTGAAAATCTCAACTCAAAGTAATGTAGGATGTGACTTTAAAGGTAGTATACAAATGATCGCAAAATGGTAAGGAGTGATTTTTTATGAATGAATTAAACCCTGTAAGAGCTATTTCTCTAACACGTATATTGCCCCAGCGCGTCGTGAGATAGTGCATGGGATCTGTTTTGTACCATTTATGGTCGTAATGGAGTCGATGACCAAACGCGTTCTCGTATTTCTCCTTACACGCGACGTCTTAGGTTTGAACCGAACCGATATGCTCTCTAGCCTTAAGCCCGCTGCGTCGGACACTCATGTCCACATGAGCCTCCCGAAACAAAAATATTGATGATGATTGTGACCCATTCCACCTCATTTATCTTTGTTTTGAACGGCTTACCGTATATATAGTTATGTTGCAATGATCTCTGCTAGATTTGGGTTCAGGTTTCAATTTAGGGTGTTCCAGTTTTGTCGATGGCAGAAAAGACACTTTTTACCCCTAACTCACACGACCAAATTATCTGAAATAACTTTGGTCACACCACCGAATCATCTGCGAGAACTCTGGTCACATCACCGAATTATCTGCGAGAACTCCGCGTCACATGACCGAATGGTCTGCAATAGCTCTTGATGCGTCGGCCGTGCAGTTCTCTCATTTAAAGTCCGTTACCATGAGAGTATACCAGGACGTCCGAGCACGTGCCAGCAACAGCCACAGCCAACAGCGGCGATCAGAAAGGAAGAGTTTACGAGAGTCATTTTGTGAAAAGTTCTCGCTTCTGAGAGACATGTTTTCATTAGGTGGGCGCTGGAGCAGGGGCGCTTGGAATAGCGCAGCACCAAGCGCTCAAATGCTGGCACAGTTCGGGTAATGTGCTTATCGGAACGCTTCTGCAGGGATTCCACGATTCAGCGCCTTGCAAAGGTTGTCTTTGTCTCTGTCACAAGGGGACAGAGACAAAAGACTAGGTTTGCTGGTCACACACTAATAACGTTTTTGAGAAGTTTGTTTCCCCTTATTATTGTCTTTAGGTGGTGATCTTGTGCTGCCACGAGATCTCTGTAGTAAAATGTAATTCCGACAAAGAGTCTTTGTCGAACTACATTTGTGTTTATTTTATCTGCATGCATGATTTTCATTTCTAGGTTTTTGTTCAGTCTGAACGTCTTATACCGATAACCTTCTGAGACTGTCGTTTCGCCTAATTTCAACACATCATTTTGCCTGCACCTGCCCGGAGAGCCTCCGCGTACCATACAGTGCTGCCACATAATCTCGAGATACGGCCGTGGAAATCCCCTCACCTCCCGTCAACTGACATTTGCCAGCTCAATCAGTCATCTCTGGAATTTAAACCCCGGTGCCTAATTTTAACCCCGGTGCCACTTGCTAAACTCAGTCGTCCGAATCGCCGGGACACGGCTGCGGGAACCAGCATAAACATAAGTGTACGAGGTACGACACACCCGAACGATACATAATACCCGATCGTAAACTTGAAACGGCAGGGAAACGGACGGTCGGGTGACAAGGAGTTAGTGCAGTTAGTTCCAGCTATGAATACAAAAGCTCAATAGGCAATGCTGATCACTTAATTGAGCATCAAACATGAAACAATTGTCCGAAAGATGCCATGCTAGGCGTAGTCAGCAGACGCTTGAAACGCCCGATGTGTTTGTTACGGGCTTATGACTAAAATGTATTCAAGTCTGTTTAGAAAATGGCATTTAAATGTTGGTTAAGAAAATGCCGTTAACCCCAAAGCCATTAAGAATAACGACCGAAACACTCAGTCAGATGGCGGTGTAGTAATTTTACGAAGGCTACTCGAACCATCGGCACTACGTGAGACCCCTAACTTTGTCTAAAGCGAAGGGTTAAGCTAAAACTTGGTGATCGATCCACGCAACTTGTTCAAGAAAGGTCTGTACCTTCGCCTTACATATATAAATGGATTAACCTCGGATCTTTCTCGGCTCCGCAGGACATCCCGCTGTTTTTGCTTCTTGACCCATGCCTATAGCGGTGTAAGTTGTTATTCATGCGTGCCCAAATCTCTGTGCGGTCCACAATCGCTGTCTCTGTGGGCAAATATAACAGATACCTGGCGTATAGTTAGCAATTATATGCACACATAGACACACACACACATGATATATATATATATATATATATATATATATATATATATATATCATACACCTGTCGATATGACGTATTCAGTCATACTCCATTTTGAGCTTTCAGCATGCTGTTCCCAACTGTTAACTTTTATCCACATCAAAGTTCAAATGTTTTTGACTGCTCTGCTGTCGCTGAGGCGGCGCGCGCACGACTATCAGGACCGGCGACGCACATTCGCGGCCAGCTCCGTGCGGCGTCCTCGAAACTACAGCGATCGTTAGGCCCTCTCCAGACTTTGTGTGTTCTTCACAGATCTAAGGTGCTGTGTAAGTGTCAAGAAGCATCCGGAGGATCTTGGATAACAGACAGCAGAAGCGTCTGGTTGGGCCATGATATCCGTGGGCGATTCAAGAATACCGATACGCAGAACCTGTGCATCAGATGGCAGGTATACAGAGGCAGAGAGCAAGTGACCTCCTGGGCTTATCAGCCATGTTGCACCACACCAAGTTCAAACACAATCCGAGGCGTTACGTATCTGGTTCTGGCAAACATCGTCCGAGAAGAGGGTCAGCACACGTCGCTATCAGCACTGACGCTACTTCAGCAGATAGTGGCTGGCAATCGGACCTGATAGCGCGTCGCCCGCTCAGGCCTACCGCACGTCAAGACCTTGTTGGAGATGACAGCCTCAATCAAAGCTTGTTTGTTGCGCGCTGGTCAGCGGTTGTTTCGTGCCCGCTGCTGACAGTTGTGTTGCGGTTACCTTTGGCAGCTGACCACGGTCTGCAGCACACGCGTCACCAGGCTGTCATCATCAGCACACGCATCACCATCTGCACAACACACTGTGACAGTGATGATAGCTGACAGGGATCCACCCAGGCGCTTCCATAGCTGACCTGAAATGGTGAGGCACACTTCGTTGAACACCTGGGAGATCTGGTCTTTTAGCAATTTGGCTCAATACTTCTTTGTTTGTGACCAGCTTCTTGTGTCGGGTTGAAGTCCAGAGAGAAAAAAATGTATGAAACTTTGCACTCCAGTTAAATCCGAATTTCATCAGAGCACGCATTCAGTTCTCATGTCAGTCACAGAGCTTTCAACAGGTTCATCAAGCACATCTAACTCACGCACCTGTCATCTACGCGCTCCTTCCACATCTGCTCTTACCTAACTACTTTCAGTCATCTATGGAATGAACATTGTCCAGATGTGATTAAATTTCCCCACAGGACCACGTCAATGCAATATGCACATCATATGAGATTTTCCGGCCCAATGGAGAAGCTGTTTTGTACGCACGCGTAGATACCGCACCGCACCTCCCGACAGGGATCATCGCACGACCTGATTCAAACGAAATGTCGTGAATAACGCTGCAATACGTGCAGCCGATGGTTCGGGCGTTAAAGGTTTCATCATGATCACCCACACTTTGGCATTCCCTACATATCTTACACGTGCATACATGCCACCACTGTAAGGCATGTGTTGCTTTTCACAGTCCACCTGATCTCGTGGACTTCCCCGTAGACTACCCGCCCTATTTACCTATTAGCTGTATTATCTCAGAATGAAATTAGACGAGACCATTATGTGCACACACACACACACACACACACACACACACACACACACACACACACACACACACACACACACACACACACACACACACACACACACACACACACACACACACACACACACACACACACACACACACACACACACACACACACACACACACACACACACACACACACACACACACACACACACACACACACACACACACACACACACACACACACACACACACACACACACACACACACACACACACACACACACACACACACACACACATATATATATATATATATATATATATATATATAT